GGCGACGGGATGACGAATGGCCGTCGGACACGCTTTTAAGTGGCCACCGGGTATGCTTTATTGGCGAAAGCGTGCAGTCTCATTGCACACGGGCGCGTGCAGTTGCAGTTGCTGTTGTAAGCCGACCGCCAGGCTGGTGGGTACACGAGTCGACCAATAAATTCCCTCTTTCCGGTCATTTTCATACCTCCTTCGCGTCGCGGGACGCTTGACATTCCTGCGTGGCAAAGCCGGTGCAAAAGTGGGCTCGGTTTCCCCCAAGATCGAAATCCAGGCCCGACACTTGCCTCTATTCACCGGCAATTGATCGTCCACTTCCGTCATTTACCTCGAGGAATATTCCTCGCTTCCGTGTATCCCTTAATAGCCCGTGCGAAATATTGCAAAATTCTGCAGAAATGCAGGTGCGCCGAGCAGGCGCCAATCGCGTGTCTTAAATCCGTACCGTCGACAAAGCCCACGCAAAGTGCGTGGGTAACGACTCGTTAGACATGCACGAGTCGATCGAGGTGCAATACGATCGTAAAGAATGCGGTATCGCGGTGCACACCCGTGCCTGCACATGCACCGGCGCATTACCTAGGAGCGCTTAATATAAATGTCATTTCAATTATTAAGTTTCACGCTAAGAAACGCTTTACATTGAGTTTCGAGTAAACGGGATAAGTCCGTAATTCCAACGAAGGGAAAGAAAAGGAAAGAAAATTATGCTCTTCCGGTACCGTCGCGGTGGATGCACCTCGCGCGTGGATTAAACCAGAGCGAGAGGAGATCGGATTAAGTCTGAGGTAAACAGGGTAATTCTATAATTTCGCGGGTAAAAAAAAAAAGGGTAAAAGAGAAGATAAAGTATCGTACTCTCCCGTGAATTTGAAATTCGGGATCAGCGCGTTGCATGCATCTCGTCCGCGGGTTAAACCGGCGCGAGGCGCGAGCGGATTAAACGCGCTGCATGTAATGCACCGAGAGAGAATGTGCGTACAAGAGGAGGGAGGGGTGTTGCTCGGTGCACACCCGTGTCTACATACCGACATTATAACGTTATATATACGGTATGCGTTATAGGTAGAGCCGGTTGTGGCGCTTGGAGAAGGCACACCCGACACGCGCCAATGCATGTCTTGCTCCATTTCATCCTCGCCCGTGCCCGCCACTTACTTCACTTACTTCACTTACTTCACCTACTTACCAGCGAGACAGAATTTCCTTGCCTCGCAAGAGTCGGGCCCGGCCGTTTCGAATTCGCGCCGCGATCGCGATACCCCGGATACCAAGTGCTCGCGCTTATCAGCGCAATAAGGGTAAAAAAATTCCGCGGGAAAGGAAAAATTACGAAACATTTCGGCGAAAAAAAAAAGGAAGAAAATAATCCTTAAAAAACCCGTAGAATTTCGAAATCCCGCCAACCCTGTGGAGCGTCCTCAGGGCCGTTCCTGTTCTCCCTTTCGAGGTAGAACGAGGTAAATTTTTTTTTCCCTTGTGTGGGGGGTCGAAAGGTCCCGGAAATTGATTTGGCACTTTTTGCTCCTGATATTTCCCAGATTGCTTCCGACGGAGGAGAGTCGAGATCGGTACAGGATCGATCGGCCGGGGGGGCGGGGGGAGGGTTCCGATCCGATTTCTGAATCCTCGACGGGGTTTGTTAGCCGAAACAAAATATTTACTGGGAAATTTCGCCCTGGGCCGACGGGGGTCGGGAAGGGGGTCGCGGGGCACGGGGGGCACGGGGGTTCATGAATAATTTTGGTCCGCGGGAGACTCGTCAGCCGTAGGTTATGTGCCCGGGGCGGACGTTCTAATTACGGGCAACTGCAGAGCGTCGTTGCGCGCCCCGGGCGTCTCCTCCGGCGATTCGCGAACCCCTCTTCAGCACCCTGCTTCGGCAAACTACCCCTCCCTGCCCCCTCCCTCCTCTTTCCGTTCTGTGCCCTGCCTATACAGAGGATCCCCGTCCTGTAGCCGGGCGAGACCGAAGCCTCGACCAGAGTTTTGGCGAGCCGCCGCGTTTGCCGAGCTTTCCGTCAATACGCTTTTTTCCGCCAAGTGCTTCCCGCGGGAGGAAGCGAAACCGCGATGTGTCCACCCTCTGGTGGGACACCGTCCCCCGATATTCCCAATTTTGCGTCTTCGATTTATTGCTACCTCGATGATTAAGGAATGACGACGGGGTGCGGTGCCCGGTTAGGATTTTCGAACCGCACCGCCGTACGAGTGCAACCTCGAAAGTACCTCGTTGCACATGCACTCGCTCGGGGAGCGGTACATTAACCGGCGGTAATTATTTAAGATAGGCGCCTCTAACGAACCGGAACGCCTACTATATCCAGGCTTTCAGAGATTGGATGCGGACAAGGAGCGTGTCGCGGTCTTCCCGCGCCGGACCCCCCGCGAACCCCTCGCCGAGTCTCTCGAATGGCCGCTGCATCCCGTTCTTCCTTTTCTAACGTCTTCCGGCCCCGATCTATTCATAGGCAGAGGATAGCGGGACTCGAATTCTTACTTACAGCAGTTCCTGCGCCCTCGATCGCCGGATCGATCCCGATCGAGTTGCATAGGCGATATCGGCCGATCGGTGCAGGCACTACTACCACTTGCGGCTGCACATCGCCCTCCGATAGAAATGAAAAATCGCCCCTAATTTACGAGGGAGTCTAAGTGAAAATTCGCAATCGAGTTTCGGGACCTATCGATCGACTCGATATCGATCTACGCTGAATTTTCAGTGATTTCCGTACCGCATCTCCGGAGTAGTCCGAGGGATCCGATCGGGTGAAATCACGGGTCGACGGCGAATCGAGAGATCGATCTCGAGCCGATCCGCGGCCGGCGGCGAATCGCTGATCGTCCGCGGTAATTCCGCGCGGAACGACCGCAGGCCGCGATTGTCCACGTGAAAGTCCGAGCCGGCGAGCGCGTCTACTCCCCTTTTTCCTTCGGCCGATTTTTAACGGAAGGACGCGAATCTCGATTGGCTTTTACAATGACCGTGGGAGAGAGAGGGGAGACATAAAAAAAATAACAATAAAAAAGGAAGAATGAAAGAGAAAAGGAAAAAGAAGACCGACCCGCCATTTCCTACGAGAAACGCGCGCAATCCGCACCGAATGTAAAAAGGCAAGGGAAAAGGGAACCGCCCTCGTAAGCCGATTTGCCGGTATTTTACATTTTTGTATACCTCTCCCCGTTAAGTAAATAATCTTTCCCTCGTTCCGTAAAAGGGACTGAAAAGGCGGAAAACGGAATGGAACCAGAAAATGTCGCGAACGCGGCGATTTCTCTCGCGAGTTATTCCCTCCCCGGTAAAAGGTAACCGCGTTGATTAACCAAGTCGATTAAGGGGTAATTGTTTAATCTGTCCGGCATTTGCGAAGTACACGCGGCCCGAATGGCCTTCGATTCGGCGAAGTAAAGAGAGGAAAAACTTAAACGGGGCATTAGCCCGTGCATTGAGGCACTCCGGAGTATTATTCGCCATTCGGTACCGAGCGGCGGAATTATTCAGATATGTAACTACGCGCACTCGGTTTAACCGCGTCCATTCCGCGGCTAAAGAGCCTCTCTGGTTTGTAATCAAATTCTGATATAGCAATCAGTTAAACCGCGTCGGTCTTGGCGCAATGTGAATCAATTTGCCGGTACCTTGGATTCGTCCGCGCGTGACCGCGGTACGTACACCGGTCCCCATACTTACGGAATATTTAATCTTCATTAACCGCAACCATGGGACCCCATCTAATTGTTCCAAAAAATTCCGGAATACGCCCTGAACTCGGAGAAAAAAATTAAAATTCAGAAAACGAGGCCCAGGGATTTTTTACGGAATTAATTCTGGCAGAAGGGTCGATCCCAAGAGACGCAAGTCGGCGCGCATTGCAGGGACAAGGTAAAAGACTAATTACATAGAGGGGGCAGGGATGCGCAATAAATCTATGACTAACGAAGTCAGAGACAGAGAGGAAAGTGAGCGACGAGACGGGAAGGGGGGGGGGGACGGAAAGCCGAGCAATTAAGCCGCGACTGTAAATTCTGCGACACTGGTAATTGCGATGCACCGATGCACCGATGCACCGATCGCAGCGACTTGCAAATGCAAACGACATCGTCTTGTTAGTTGACCGATTTCACATGCGCGTTTTGCCCCCCCTCTCGATCCCTAGATCGCATGCAACGAGAGTAAGTGCACTCGGACACTCGCCGCACCGGCGTGCATACTTCTCGTACTAGATGTAAGCACTCGTTACCCGCTTTCGATTCTGGGATTTAACGATTCCCGTGACGTCACGTCGTACGTTTTCCCGGGGACGTATCTTATCCTGTCGTGTACTCGCCTTACCGGGACGAGGCTTGACGTGCAACTGCCAACGCAATCGCCGTTTCCTCATTTACATGCGCCGACAATCAAGAGTGTACCGAAGTCATGACAGCACTTGTCCGAAGCGGGGATAGCACGCTACATGGAGGCTTAAAGCGGATGGACTCGAACGAATTCCGCTGGACATGTTAAAAAATTCAATGGACATGTAATTACCCATTCCTTGATTACCCCCACCCCGAAGATGCGACACGAAGCGGCTCTTAATACCCGAAGACCAAATTAAATCCGAAATTCATATCTCTCACCTGGGACTTAAACCATCGCGGCGTTTACGCATCCCGATCCCCTATGAAGATAATAAAATTATTATTTAACGATTAACAAATAATTCCGGAAATATTAGATTTTACTGGAAGTACCTTCCCCGTGTACCGGTGTCTATAATGAGAGGTGCATACATGGCCTGAGGTGGAGCTAAAATTTAATTACGTTAAATTGAAGTTAATTTATGCGGTTATAATTATTACGTCGTTTAACAATAATTAATAGTACCGTAAGAATTACAGATTACTGGAAGTACCTTTCCGGGTACCCGTGCCCATAAGAGGTTATGACGGTTCGAGGTCAACTAAAATGAATTATGGTGTTTATTCATCCCGCAGTCGAGTCTTTAGGGAGAACTCACCGCTTCTGGCACGTGGGCTCCAGGTTGACGGTTCGGGCGTCCACGGCTCGAGTCCAGAGCTCTGCGAGCGAATCGCACGGGGTTCCCGAGGGAGGCACGCGTCCTTGTTCACTGGGCAGCGCTCCAGAGGGCGGCCGGCTGCTCGCGGGCGCCGCGCGTGTCAGCCACGTGGTCTTGTCGCGTGCGCGAACCGCACGAGATGTGCGCGCTCCGGCGGTCGGAGAGAAACTGCGCGGCGCTCGGCGAGCGCGCAGTCTCGCGCTCTCGGCGGCCGCGGGTCGCGCGCGCCCTCGGGCGAGGGGCTGGCAACCTCGCCTCGGGCAGGGATGGGTTTGTCTTCCCTCGGGACATTCCGCTCCTCCATCAAAGGGCCCGATTGGAATCTCCGGGAGATGGGCGCCGAACTCTAATTTTCAGAAAATTCTTCAAATACGACCTCGCTCGGATGCCTGGAATTTTCGACCGGTCTCCCTTCACGATCTAATTTGGATATTGGTAATAATAACGGGGCACGGGATTCGAAAGCATGGATTTCGAATTTTTACCCACCAGTTAAGGTGATGTGAAAGTGTCATATACATACCTAAAAGTCAAGATATTTGTGAAATTTTACTCCAAATTGGGTGCACCGAATCATTTGAAACTTCCTCACGAGATTATGGAGGTGTAAAGAAGAACGCGATGCTCGTGAAATTTAATTCGTCGAAAAAAAAAAAAATGTGTATCTCGGACAAGGACTAAAAAAACATTTTTTTTTTTTCGAAAAATAAAATTTCACGAACATCGCGTTCTTTCTTAGAGCCTCCATAATCACGTGTTACGGTTTCAGATAATTTGGAGCGCTCAATTTGGAGAAAAATTTATAAATATCTTCACGCTTTGATATGTATAGAATGACCCTTTCGTATCACCTTAAGGTCTATTCCATGACTCGTCAAAGTTATTCAGAGAGTTGAAAACGTTTCCCCGGAGTTCCCAGTTGGGGAAACTGGGGATTCGGTCAGCTACTTTATGTCTCCGTTAACTGAAATTCGACATGAAAACTTGGAGGAAATCTTCCAAAAGCTGCCATATCGTCGACGGAGGTTGCGATTGGATAGGTGTAAATAATTTAAAAAATGCTTTGGCAGTATCAGAAATTTATTTTAACAAGTCATTACACTTTGTTTCCGCATGGCTGAGGAATCAAGTCCTGGTGGAATTTTAAGTCTTCATTCTGTATGGAAGAGTTCGGAGGTTTATAAAAATTGTAAGGAGGGTTGGAAATGCTTCGCGGAATTTTCAGTCAGGGAGGGTGTAACATGGCCGGAGGATTAAACAGGTCCGGGGATTCCACTTCCGATTTTATCGATACTTCATTAGAGTCCCATCGATTTCTCCCCACTGCGGCGTCGTGGGCGATATTCCCATCTCGGGATCTCGACGCCCGAGGGGGAGCTCCAGGCGACGCCGGCGGCGTCGAGCGGTCGTACTCTCGCAGGATTTCAACTTCAATTTCGAGGGACCCTGGGGGTCCCAGCGATCGTAACTGGTGCACCTCGTGGACCAGCGCATTCCGCCCTTAACGAAGCCCCGATTACTTTTCCCCTAGACCATTCCTGACGCATCGAACCTCGATCACTGACCACGGTCGATTTTTCGCTCCCAATGAAAATTAGGTCCACCCCGACGTCGAGCATCGATGATTTTTCGGACTAGTCCGAAACCAAATCCCAAAATTCGGGTGTACGGAACATGTCGCCCTACCTCCACTCCCAGGTAACGTGGATGCACCCACGGGCTGCACGTAAAGTCGCATTGTAAAATAGCAGCGCAGTTAGTACTTCGCCGATACCATTGGCCAATGGCCATTGGGAATAATGGGGCCGTAGCGAGAGAGCCGCGATATAAAGGGAACCGGGCATGGTTCTCTCTCTCCCTCCCCCGGTGGCTCTCTCCTCTCTCCGTCGTATTGGAGGAGCCCTTAGGCTAAAACGGCCACGGCCGACAACATCGTTCCAGGATGCCCCCAGCGCTTCCAAACCCAACCCGAACGATGCCGCTCGCATACGTAAGCAACGACTTCGCCAGAGACAAAATGACGTACGTGTCCGAGAGAGTGCACCGCCGCGTCGTCCGTGTACGCCCAAAGGACGCGTGTACCTTTGCGCCCTGATCCTCTTATTGGTCATCTCGTTCCGGGGAGGGTTTATCGACCAGCGATCGTACCGATGGAGCTCGCTCTCTCATGACTGGAAAATCCTCACACGTCATGAAATTCCCTTCTCCGAAAATTTCACTTCTTACCCCGAAGCGTGGAGCTGTACTTCTCGAAGAGGGCACATGGACTCCCAGGAGAGACGTAAAAAAGTCCGGATTTTTCGTGCTTTTCTATCGGTTATCGAGGTTACTCCCAGAAGAAGACTCGCGGGATTCAGGGTCGTAATCCGGACGGAGATCTCGGGTGCGGCTCGGGCGCGGCGACGCTGCGCCCGAGTAAAGGTAAAGGGGCTAGGGGCACAAGGTGGGCAGAATATAATGGCGGTCACATGGCCTCGGGTCGCCGAGAGACCGAGTCGGCCGAGCTGGCCGTCTGCGAGAGAGAGAAAATAATGTGATGTTTTTGTATCATACGATATACAGAGACGGCCCGGCCGGACCGCTCGCCCGGGGCGGCCGCCGCGATGTAACGAGGAGTCCGAGAGTCGCCCGTGGCTCCACATATTTTAGGGCGAGAGTCCTCCCTTCGCCCTGCCGTGCCCTGCCGTACCCTGCCGTACCCTGCCGTACCCTCGAATGCCCCGCCGTGCCCTGAGCGTCTCCGCGCCTCCGCGCCTCCGCGCCTCCGACTCTTCGCCCTACGTGTCTTTGAAACGGGTCGTGTCGCGCCCAAGGCGCAAGGATCGGCGCAGGATTTCCGAACCATCTCCATGGAATCGAGGATCCTAAAATCACCTCGAAGGAAAGGCACCTCAAATATGCCTCCATGAGCTGGACTCCCTCCTCGATGAGGATCCAGAAGAGGATCTCGAAGACCCACCGACGTAACCGGAGTAGCCCTCTAATCGAAGAGTTTGAAAGCTGGTTTCATAAGATTTCTCTCTCAGAAAATAACCCTGGTACTCTTCGAGGTACCTAAAGCTCGAGAGACCTGTGGACTTATGGCTGGACCCAGATCTTCGAATATCGAATATCGGCGATCGGGAGAGACGGAGAGTTGCCTTTTTCGATCAGCCTCGACCGAAGAGTGTGTAGGCAGACATGCATCCGGCCCACGTCCACTGGCAGACTTCGATGATAATTTATTAATCGTTACGTTATCCCGTCGACCGCGCCTGGGTTAAAAATACTCACCCGAAGAATCTGTCGATTAATTTAACGAATGAAAAATGTCCCTCCGCTCCTTCGATTTTTAAATCATTTTTAAGCTCTCGAGAATCCCAAAAATCGGGCGGACGTTGTTGGACTTCTGGTAACGGTGTACCGTCACTCTTCGTCTTGTACTTGACGTACACTTGTCTTCCGTTCGGTAGCCAGACTGGTCCATTTCCGCACCCTATCACTCGCTGACAAAAGAATTTAGCCAGCACGCGATTGAGCGATCAGTCATCATCGATCTCGATAGCGGTCGTTTCGGAGCCGGCGATTCCGGTCGAGGCTGGCCGACACACCTTTCGACGATTACTTTCATCGTCTACCGGATTCCAAGTAGCGACCGGGTGATTTAATGGATCCACTGGCAGCATCCTCTCGGTCCCAGCATCCGAGCTGGATGAAACGTTCTCGCTGACATTTCGCTAATCGTCGCGCCTTGATCTGCGCCTCGGACGTTTCTCTCGCATTCCGAATCCCGCCGCGCGGGATTCAGATTGGAGATTAGGGTTAAGATTAAGCGTTTCGCCGATGAAAATTGAAAAGTGGCTCGTCGATCGGCACACACTCGATCGGCTGATTGATTCGATGATTTATGCGAGCTCTCGCACTCGATTCAACACCTGCGCCCGCTCCCAGAGCCCGTGTTAAGAGGCGTTAAAGCACTGGTAGTTGGCTTTCAGAGTCTAATTACGCGAGTAAAGGTGCACGATGGATCGGTAATTGTACGTCTAGGTGAGGCGCAACTCCCTTGGTATTCACCGTTGAGAGATATTTATTAACGGGAATTAACGAAGCCTGGGATATTTATTTATCGGGATTACTCCGCGTCGAAGGGAATTTATTCCTCGCAATTGCCGCAATTAAGGTATCCATTAATCAGAATTACCGTATATCTAAAGGTATTCCGGAATTTACCCACCGAATTCATCAATTGACCCGTGAGATGTTTCTAGTAAATTTGTTTACCGGAGTTAACGTTTTGCCGGTATTTATTCGACGGAATTACCGGGTCTCGAAATATTGATCCCTCGGAATCGCGGTTTCGGAGGTATTTATTTATCGGAATTACCGTATCTGGGGATATTTATTTATTAGGATCCGGGAATAGCCATCGGTATCTGCTCTCCCTGATTTCTAGGCGAATTAAATACGGACCGTACAACGCTCGCATGAATTATGCATCCCCTTTTCTATATGTCCTCGCCCATGTAGAACTTTCTCACCTGGGTTTAACCTGTCCCCAAGGAAATCCATTCCATATCCAATTTCCTGTTTCGCATCTTTCACCTTTCACCCGGGATGCTGCTCCTTCTTACATCCTTTGTGCAGTTCTCCTAATCGACAGATCTCGGACATCTGCGTTCATCTTCGAGCGAGTCTGTAATAGCGATCAGAAATTTGCATACGCACTTTCGTAATTCCCGATTCATGGATATCATTTTTCTAGGATCTCTTCCTTCAAGCCGTATTTCCAGATATCGAATGAATAGCACCTCTCGATTTTTCGACTTTGACAATCCTCCCAGCAGTTTGCACCCTGCCCATTCCCAGCAAGTCCGCGATCGCGATCGCCGGTCGTCCGCGACCTCTCGTGGGTGTATGTTTAACCTTTCCGATGGCAGAGAGCAGAGGGGCCGGGGAGTCCGGCGATCACCCACGCAAGCGAATGTAAATCACCGGAGGCTGTGAATCATTTTGAGAAGACCAGACAGCCCCGGGGGCCCGGTCCCCTCTCCGGGGCCTTACACTTACATAAGGAACACTCCCTGAGAAAGGCAAGCTGCTCCCATAGATGGCCGTGGGACGCGCTCGGGGCCCCAACTCCCACCTTATATCCCGGCCCCGGCCAATCATGCTTATTAGGGATTTCGAGCCTTTGGGAAGAGACGGAATACGAGAACGAAAGGATATCCCTTCGGTCGAGTTTCTGTCATTATTTCTCCCCCTCGCGATCCCGCTCACGATCGCTTCTCCCTTCCCAGAAGCGTTTAGAAAAACGGGCCGACAGTTTCCACCCAGCTGATCCCTTGAGATCCTGGAAGGGTCCAGCTATTATTTCCAACCTCCTCTATTTTCACCACCATTTGGGAATTTTCATCGGGAGGAAATATGTATAATGAGGATTTGGGATATTTGTCGAATGGCGGAGAGCCCTGGGTCGGGATTTCCGGATCGAATCTCGATTATTGGAGATCGCGACTCGCGAGGACACCGATTGCGGTCCGATGCGGCTTTCCTGCAGCCGTATCGCGGATATCGATACCGTTGTCATAACCGCAGGTTTCTTCTCGCTATCCCGGAAAGGACCGGGTTAGTTCCCCGATGGTTATTCGAACAAGGACATCCACACGCCGGCTAGCTTCTAGGGTGTCGGACGTGTCCATTACAGGCGTGACAGTGTGCAGAAAAAATTCCCGCGATATTCGAAATTTCATGACTCGGGATTTTCACCTCGGCAGATAGGCCCAAAAAATGAGCGATCGAGGAACACTCCTGATTTCCTCGCGGTTCTCCTTATCAGGGCCCGAGGTCCTTCTCTTATCAAATCTGGAAAAGAGTGAGTAGACGAGTCCCCCTTAAAATCCGCAATTCCGTAACTCGCGATTCTCAGGGTATCCGAAACAAAGGAAAGGAGGGGGCCGAGGGAAAGAGGTCTCGCGCGAGAGGAAAGGTTGCCTAGGTAGAGCTCATATTTTTCGCGGTACCGTAAAGTCTGCTTATAGCTGCAGAGGTGGTCCCCGGGGCGACTCGTGAAGATCGTGAGCGCGAGGGAGATAGCGAGGCAGCGGCCCGTGGCTTGCGGGGGCGTTCGAGCCGCGCGGAGCACCGCGGAGCGTTACCTCCGGATCCAACGGAAAGCGGCCGAGCGAGGGAGAGAGAGACCCATGCGGCCGCGGGAGGGAGGAAGCGAGAAGCGGATAGAGGCAGAGAGAGGACGCTCGGAGAGGCCCGGGGACCCGGACCGAGAGGAGGCCGTCCCTTCTTCGCTTGCCCTCTCCGCCCGCCTCTCACTGCAATTAGGGAATTGCCTCGGGTACCACACATTCGTTGCGAGATGCAACCACGTCCGAGCTGACATGGTCGTGGTAAAAGTCCAATGGGTTACTTTAATACATTGTTCCCTGCCGAGGCCCGCCTCCACCCCCGCCGAATCGGGCGCCGATCGTTCCCGCGGGACCATCGCTCCGGTCGGTTCGACTTGGTTCGATTTCCCAGGATCCTCGGTCTCCGGTCTCTGGTCTCGGCCCGACCTCCACCCTCCGGTTTTGGATTTCGGTCTTGCGGGGGGAGGGGGATCGCGTAAATCACCGTATCATCGAATGTCGCGGGGATACCTTAATGCGAGCTTTCGGTCCAGGTTGCCGTTACCACTCGCGGAAGGGGAGCACTTTTCGCCGGTGCGCCGGCGCGTGATGAACGGCCCTTTATTACATGGTGCGGTTACGACGATAAAACGGAGGTGGTCGCTCTTCCTCCTGCGGTTTGATTGACATCGGAGCGCCGGGACGCGCCACGTCCGGGAGCTCGGTGCAGCGGCCTGATAAATCGTCGGGCATTAGCATCTCGACGTTTATGACAGTACTCAGTCGGCGCAGGATAGATCGAGCCTAGGTGCGTCCTCGTTGGACGCGTGGAAGCCGAAGGAGGAATCGAAAGAGTTCCTCCTCTTCCGGCAGGCCGTCCCCTCCCGAAGGATAATCACTCCAGCCAGGAGGTCCACTTTTTGCCCCGAAATTACAAGGGGACTCGGAAGCCAGGATGTATAAAAACTGACGACTGCCCCCATTCCGGCGATGTTTCAATTACCCGACATAAAACTTCTAATCGCGTCCCCATGATTTCGGGAACTTGAAACCCCAAAGACCTCGAGACCCGGACCACCCCTAACCCCTTCAAAGTCGCCGCGCCCCCAGAATGCAAGAGACTCTCACCGTTCCACCTGTCCATCGCCAAACCACCCCATGAACTTGAACCCATCACCCTCCCTTCCCCGAAAACCGCTCAAAGAAGCACTCGACCCCGCCATAGGTCAACGGTGGGGGGTGGTCCCCCATTCGGCCCTGCGGCGCGGTCGCAGCCGGCTCCTCGAGCGGCTCGATAGGATCGCGAAAAATTGTCGTGCGTACTTCATTAATATTTCATTTCGTGCTTATCGTTTTCCTCGGAGCCGTAGCCGCGGTTCGCCGTGGGGCATCGTTACCGGGCGAAGAGCGCGAGGGAGCGAGTCGGAGCTGGGGGGCGCGAGCGAGAGAGGAGGGGCCACGGCCTCCGGGTGCTGGCACGCATTGTCTCGCTCGCGCCCGCGGGGGCAGGGGGCCCCCCCCGGCCTGGGGCGGGTGCAGCGCCTCCACCGCCGCGGGGTCTCCCGCTATCTCCGGAGCCGTTTCCGTACCCGCAGCGACCGAGGCTGTCCGGGCCCCGGGGGCCTTCCCCCGGCCCCCCCGTTCTCCACGCCGGCATCCTTGAAGCGCGGCATGATTCCCGCTGCGCCCGAGGGAACCGAAACGGCTCTACCTCGCGCGTCTGCCTGCAGTGCTCCCGGCGAGTGGCCGCCCCCGCCCCCCAGTCCCCCGCCCGGGCCCAGGAGCGCCGTCCTTCGGTGCCGTCTCCACCTTGCCCCCTCGTCCGCTTCCTCCTCCTCCTCCTCTCGTTACTCCGGCAACCTCTCTTGTCAACCAGCTCGCCCGCTCCGGGCAATCCCCTCGCCGGATAAGAAGACGGCTTTCATTTGCGGCGAGCCCCCCCGCCCCCCGGCCCCGATCGATCGCTGGACGATCGACCCTGTCGATCGCCCGATTTGGGAAACCGCGGAACCCCCGGCCCTCCAGGTCGACGGTACCGACAGGCGGGGGGATCCTGTACAGAGCGGCGTTCTCCACCCTCGTTGAGGGGGTGGAGAACGAATTCAGGTGGAAATCGTGGAATTGGAGGTATTTCGAGACTAATGGGGAATGTTGTGGAGACTTCTTGTCAGCCAGGTCGTTTGTAATGGGTAATTACCTGGATAGGAGGATCCCTCTTGATCGAGCTCCCCGCCGATTTGTCATTTCGATCGATTAATGGGCGATCGATCAAAAGTAGAGGTGCAACGGAGGAGGCGATTAAAATCAAGCGGCGCCACCTGTGCTCGAGATCAAGCATTGAACTCTCCCGATTACCGACGGGAGGTCTTCGGGGTTCTTCGAGACGAGGAGCTGATGCTCGATAACGAGACACCAGTAGGTGGTTAGAGGTTTATGGGATTTAATTTCATATCGTTTTTTTCATCTTTTTGATTGTACATCGCGGGATTTATTTTACAATGGCGGAATCGAGGGGATGTTGTCTCAACGGGGCCGAGGTGAAGGACCCGAAGAGGAAGAGGAGTGGTACCAAACAGACCTCGGCGGATTGTTTAGCAGGACGTGATCGGCAAACTCTATCGGCAGCTTTCTTTGTGACTTGAAATAATAATAGACGGTGCATCGGCCAGAATTGATGTGTACCTAACTAGCATAACACGTACTAAGAGAACCTCCGGGAAATAAAAGGACGAAAGACCGGAGATCGACTGGACGCTCCTGGCATTTCAATGGCCCTCCGTACCTTCTCCTCGCCTCGCTGGAAAATCCCACATTTTGGCAATCACTTCCTCAAATAACGATTCGAATTTCAGATACAATTCGACAATTGTAAAATATAATTAATCCAAACTTAAACGAATGTCACTGCCCCGTTTTTATTGTTCGCGGAAATTCTCCAAGGACAATTGCGATACGAAAACGCGGTATCTGTAGGAAAATTACACTTTTACCGCGATGACGAGATAATAAACAAGGGCATGACTAATTGCATTGAGTCGTGTTGGGTTCTTCATGTGGTGGCGTGTCTATGGATTTTGTTTTTACGATTTCGCGGTATGGTGCGATTATTGCGGAAACTTGATCACGTCTCCGGAAACTGGGATGTTATTTCACGCGGGAGGTGATAATTTCTTGATGCACTTGGATGCGTCTATGTCTGATTACACCAGCACACAACAAACTTCATTAGCTGGACAATCCGTCACTATTCGTCGCAGAGACTCGCCGCATCTTTCCATGCAGATTCCTCCGTGATGGCGACATTTTGTGCGGAATGCTGATTTCACTAGAGAAACAAAAAACAACAAGACTTTATACATTTCGCAAGGACCCTCAGTAGGTCTTGTACCGATTCCTTCCCTAAGGACATCGAAAGAGATTTTATATTTGATCCTCAGCCTCGATGAACACTTCCCATGCATTTAAACCGCCTTTCTTACCCACGCTACAGCAAGTTTCTTGTTGACCAGCGCAGGTTGTAGAAAACACCGGCTCTTCGCACTGTTCCTCAGGGATGCAATTTTCGGCTGGGCACAATTCCGCAGTTTGAGCCCCTGGAAAAAATCCAACATAGTCCTACGAGTCAGGAATTATTTTCCACAATCTCCTTCCAACTTCTACTCCCCCAGGAAAAATGAGAAACGCTAGGAATTCTCGTTGAAAATCATTGAAATTAAATTCCCGATTTGTATGTACGCTCCACCTCGATCGACGTTGCACTTGCAACTCTTTCGGGGGGGGGGGGGGGGGGGATTTAATATCGTATTATAATTCCAGTACGCTTTTCCTAATACAAAATGCAGATCAGTGGTCCCCGAATTTTGCAGCGATAGTAGATTACGAAATTACGATAGCGTGTTCCCCTTGTTCCGATGGTATCGGTCGAGGGTCGAAAGGGGGTGCCGAGAAAAGCTTACCTCGTGCATAGAGAAGGACCGCCAGGAGCAGGAAAAGGAGACCGAAGTCAGCTGATATCGACGAGAAGCCCATTTCTTGGCCGGAGCGTCCCTCGTTCTTGACAGTCGACGTTTCAATGCTCTCACTTTCCCGACAGGTCGGCATTATATAAACGCTGTATGTACACGCATATCCGTTTGTATCGGTATCGGGCCGCGTGTCGTCTCGCACGACGAATCGGCTTTCGTTTACCAATGGCTCGCCTCTTGCGTCTTGCATTTCATTACCGCCGGTGGTTCTCGGGGGACTTTATTCCCCGACAAATGGCGGCGAATAATCGCGAAGTAACATTTAAGCACCATTGCCAATAAACATTGACGTTTATTCCCTAGCGGTATTGAAATAGCTTTTTTATTCCACGAGGAATTACACAGTTTGCGGAAATGGCATCCAGCCCCGTGTCACTGGAACCCGCGTCCTGGAAATGCCGGAACAAAATCGTTCGCTTTTGGGGATCCGGGGAATTTAAACAAAAAAAGAGAGAGATAGAGGGAAACCGCCGGTGTAACCGCGAAATCGGCCGGCGGGATGGCGGGATTTTTCCGCGTGTGCAAATAAAACTCAAAGGCCTCGCGTTTACCGCCATAATTGCGGAGTCGTGGCGATCCCTCGATTTATCCATGCCCCCTTGCATCGGATAACAGAAATTGCCCGGCGCTTTTGAAAACGCGGAGCCGGCCGCGATCCGCGCCCCACTCGGGGTAAATAAAGAGTCGGGGGGTAAAAAAAGGGAAAAATTCAAGGGGAGGGAGAAAGAGAAAAACCGCACCGCGGCGTGATTTACGAACGAATGGAGGAACATTATTTTAATGGCGTCAGCGGGTTGAATCGAGCCGATCGTGACGCCGGAGGGATGCTACCCGCTGGGATCGAACTTATCGACGATATCGGAACGAACGATTCCCTGTGAGCGGTATTTTCTGCCGATCGATTCGCTCTCTACTATCCAAGACCTACTTTGAACAGATTTGCAAAGTATGAGATTTTTCCTGCCTCACCGAATATTCTGATAGGTTAATCGAGATCGAACTCATCGGCGATATTGGAACCCTGTGAATCATAATTTCCGCCAATTGATTTTCTCTACACTCTCCAAGATCGTCTTTGAACAGCTTTTACAAACTCTGAGATTTTTGCCGCACCACCGAATCCTATTATTGATAGCCCGTTATCGAACTTATCGACGATATCAAATTGATTTCTTGTGACGGGCAGTTTTCATCGATTCACACTTGTTAAGATTGATCTTAAAGAACGTTTATAAAGGTTTCCGATCGTTGCTGAGTCAATAAGCGCCTTTCTTCATAGGCCTGATATTAGCCTTATCGCGTCTGGCGTTAAATCACAGATTGATAATTATGAATTTTTATGAATTTTTTCCAAAACTCCCTGCACCTTAAATTAACCAGGGAAAAATACTGGATAGAAAAAAGCTCGTTGCGGTAATCGGAAGGCCTTGAAATTTCCGCGATTTATGCGAAACGAGACTCGGTTCAGTTTTTGGTTTGCAGTGCAAATATCGTTGTGGAATATTTTTCGGGATTTGATACCGATCTCGGAAGAGGTTGCCCATCATCGCCGACGAGTCGTGCCATTACTGTGTAAAGAGGGAAAACAAGAGCAAAGAGGCCTTCGGTATGGCGGACCGAATGTTGACCCGGGACAAACATTACGGTTTATCGGCGGAATCCCCGCGAATATTTTTCCGCGCGTGTTAATATCACGGCCTTCGAGATGCGATTGATAATGGTTCGATCGGTGACAGCGATGTAGTAATAATTATAGGGAGGCCTAGAATCAACCCAGGGGTTTTATTTAACTCTAAATTACATGTGATCGCTAATCAATTTATTTTAATGGATAAGACACTAAATCAACCCGGCGTGGTACTTAAATCAAAGCGGGGTAACTAAAATTATGAAAAATAAAATTGAAACAATAAATGCAGTAATAAAAGTCAGTCGCTTCGAGCACGCGAGTATACAGATCGGAATCAACGAGCGAACCAAGTCTCTGTATCCTAAAGATCGTCTTTATTGGCTTCCCGGGATATTTAAGTGACGGCTAGAACCTCGGCCTCGGAATTTTACAGTTTTTCAAAAATCGGATATGTATAAGCGAGGCGCCGGATGTCAGTATACATGTTTCAGAAGACAGTCCCCCGTTACAGCCTAGATATATCCCTTTTTACACGACAGCCTAGCCGATTATCATTTTCCAGACTTTTCGAGCGCCTTAAGGCTTTACGTTCATTTACTTTTTTTTTTTCTTTCGTTAATTATCTACTTCTGATTCCTATTGTTGCAGTTGTTAGGTGTCCAACGATCTCGGCTGCAATAACGCGAAAACTGTGGTTCCGGATCTTATGATATGTGTGTTGAAAAAATCGTTTTTCGCTCTCTCTCTCTTTCTCTTGATATATTATTTTTAATTTTACTTGGCTTTTCTCCGTTGCAGCCGAAATGGTTAACTATTAATACGGTGCTAGGAGAGTTTCGAGATTCTGAGATTGTAGATCTAGGTCTAATCTGCCTCTTAATTTCTTCATCGCATTTCTACTGGACGAGCCTTTGGCGGCTGCATTGACAGTGTCACTTGCAAATTTAGACGCACTTATCGTTAGGTCCCCTCTTGCACGCAAGGCGACGATTAACGTTATACTAATCGGAAGTGATAAACGAAGTCGAGACCGCATTTGACGGCGGTTTGCAAAATCAGGATTCCCAGAATAGAAATGAACGCTGCTTACGTCGTCCCTCTGTATGTACAAGTTGACAGGCTTAGCCTCTCGATACTTAATCCTGTCGATAGTATATATCTCGCGTTGCTAAAAGTTAGAATATTGTACACGATTAACACGTTCGTAGAAATTCATCGATCGAACTGACTAGAGCTTTCATACTGGCGTTGATGACGTCGAGAATGGACGAGGGTGTCTTTCCCCATAAGGGGACGCTTCACCGAGCCTCAGAAAGAGATTAACAGAATCCCTCCACAATTTTCAAAAAATATTTCAGACGAGTCAAGGGATCACCTGAGTAGTTACCACTGTAATCCTCGCACTTCTGTAAATTTACCGCACAGTGAAGTGTCCCTTTACCGCCCACTCTAAATAAGACCTTGCACCCGGAAATACGATCCATTTAATCCTGAGCATCTTGGAAAATACTTAGTCTGCAATTAAATACGCTAACGAGGAGTCAGACTTTTGTAGCTGCTCCACTGATAGAGCTCGACGTGTCGTTACTTCTTTTCTCTCGACATCCGAGCATCTCTGCGGCCAACATAAGTCGGCGAAGTTAGAAATAATTGTCAAGTTAAGTCGAAATAACGAGAACGATCGATCGGCACAGGGCGAGCTTGGCAAGAGGTCGCGGTAATTATTTCTTCCGAGATTTTTGCACGTCGAGGAGTCTCGCAAAAATGTCGGAAATTCGCGGAAAAATCGCATTAAAGTTAGAGAGCTTAGTCGTAAGATTGTGCGATTTTCTCGCGCAATTGTGCCACGTGATGCGATGCGATTCTTCGCCGTCCTCTTCGGGGTGCGGAAATAAATGGAAGTCAAATCATCGTCAACCTATTCGGAGGAATCGGCCCAGATACGCGTTAACGGTTAAAAGATTATTCTGCATATCACAGTCGGCTACGATTACGCCCCAGGTCGGTAGTCCGCCACAACGTTCTTCAGGAACGTGTAAATGTCCTTAAAACTCGGCCGAGCGGACTCGTCTCTTCTCCAGCACGAGCACATCACTCTGTAGACCTCCTCCGGGCACATCGTCGGCTTTGGCAAAAATACCTGAAACAATGGCACCATTAATTAAACCCACCCAGGAGATCCACATCTTCGGTCACTTTTTATGCATCCGTACTTGCAGCTCTTCGCCGTAGTACATTAGCTCGGCGTTCTGTATGACCTGCTCGTTCGTGAGGTGTTGGAATGGTTTTTCCCTGGCGAAGTTCGTCACCTCCCATAACGTGACGGCGAAGGACCAAACGCTGCTGGAGCAGGTGTACCTATTCTGAAGAAGGAAGAACGGAATCAGACCAGGTAACACGGTCCACGCCATTACGGGATTAAAGTCCTATTTGCTGATGCCGTAATATGTCAGAACGGAAAGCGTCGAAAAGACAGCTGAACGCATGCAATCGAGAGAGCTTGTTGCCATTTTTGTCGAGAATTTTGGAAATATGCACCATCAGAATGCTCTCCCAGGGCAGCCATCTGATAGGCGCAGGAGGTCTTCCGCCGATGTCGCTGTAGTCCTTCTTGTACAGATCGCTGCACATCGCGATATCCGTGATCTTGATGCTGTAACACCGACCCACCAGGCAGTTCCTGGCAGCCAGGTCCTTGTGCACCAGGTTCTTGGACTCCAGGAACCGCATTCCCGACGCTATCTGGGCGCCCATGTACAGCAGGCAGCTCTGACTGCAACGGAAATTATGGTTACCATGATCATCGCTTTCATTCTTGATAATTTTCTTCTAAAATAGAAATTAAACTCCTATAGAGGAGGAATTACCTGAGGACCTTCAGACTGCAGCTGGGCCTCAAGGTGCCCGTCAGGGGGACGCTATACTGCAGGTAATGGGCCAGATCCCCCAATTCCGTGTACTCGATGATGGTCCAGGGCGACCCAGAATCCGCCGAACATACCCCCAGGATCCTCGCCAGGTTTGGATCCGTCAGGCAAGACAGGAAACGCACCTCTCTCATGGCATCCGCCAGGTTGATTCCCTGACCAGGGTCTTCAAGGCTGGCTGGTACCCTGGCGACCACTAGCCTTCCAGCTCCTGTGACGACCTCGTCCAGGCGCACAGCTTCGCAGACCACCACCTGAAACAGCCATTTTCAAGAAACCACTCCAGGACATCGCCAAACCTTCTTCATCATCTACCTCCCCGATGTGACTCGAGCCGAGTTTCTCAGCAGTTCGCAGACAGCTACGAGGGATGTTCGTCGGCTCGATCTCTTTGCACCTGTACGGCCTGTTCATGCTGGGCGCGATGTTCCAGCTGACCACTGGAGCTGGTACCTGAAGAGGTGATCAGGATGTAGAAATCATCAACGAGGAGGTTAGGAAGTGACGAGTCCCTTTAGGGTAGTGGGACCAGAGTTTACCTTGTGTTTCTCTTTCGGCGCCGTGTGCCAGCGCTTTGGGACCATCTGATCCACGTCTTTGGTGCTGTTTGGTGCAGTATTTACATTGGGTCTACTAGTTGAGCTCGCGTAGGTCTGCAGAGTCCTGAAGTGTTGGGCCTGTCGAGCTGGCGAATTGTTTGGGGAAGAAGTGTAGCTCGGCGGCGCTGCTGGACAGTCCGGCTTGGGGTTGGAGGTGGTCTCTTCAGGGTTCTCTTCAGCGTCGTTGATTTCTGGGGGAGGGATCGGTCGTTAGGCTTTGCTGCCAGGAATCGATGGCTGAAGAGCTGGGAACTCACCGTCGTCCAGGACGCTGGCGTAATTGGATTTGTACTGAGAGCTGACCAGTGGCGAGTCGAACTGCTCCATCGTTAGGGACTCATGGATGGACACGTCCTCGACGATGTCGGGTGACGTGTGGGGATTGTCTCTTAACACCTCTCCTGGGGTCAGGTTCAGGAGGAGGCCCTGAAATCATAGATCATGGCACAAAAGATCAGCTCAATTTCCTTCACTCTCAGCCGCACCCCCGATTGGCTCCCCTCGAGTTAGCCGGGGAACTTAAACAGTTCCCGTAATAAGTTCCCCGGTACTCGTGGAAGTGCTTATTGAAGGAATTTAAAAGAAATGCCAGAGGCGACCGGGTCACGCCGGGTTAGCCCTCGGAGCGATGTCGCTCGTTCCAACTTTGATCCCCGGAGGATCCGAGGTAAAAAGAGACCTCGACTTTACCTTCATATTTATGGCGAAGCCAAACGGGTTCTTCAAGACCGTCGGTGAACTCTGGAGTTTCTGTCGTCTGCTCAGCAGTAAAATGATGACGAACACCAGAAGAAGTAGCAGAGTGATGGCGGTGAGGACCCCGATGAGGACCTCCACGTACTCCTGACCCTCGTCCCGGGCGGTAACTGGGGGAGGAAAGTGACCAATTTATCAACAACTTCTCCCGAAAGAGTGTCAAACTCCTCCTCCTTCGGGAAAAAGCATCTACGTTACGAGGGTGGTCATGTTTGCCGAACTTCGCAAACGACCGTGTACCGCGCCACTCCACCTCGTGCTCCTCTCCAGCAACGCATGAAATTCGTTTTCATCGGTACAGCTAACTCAAATTTACATGACGGGGCTTTTTGTAACAAACGAAGGATCGAGAAAAAGAAACGAGGAAGCGCAAGACTCGGGATGTGGGGTCGAAGACGAGGGAACACCTCGTTTACAATTGCAGCGCAGGACGCCCTTGCAGGAGGGCCCTAACCTACCGCAACCTCGGTGTCGGGCAACGACTAAAGTATAAAGGAGGGCGATTTAGAAAGTTTGGGGTAACGAGAGTCAACCTAATCTTCCCTGCGGCAGGAAGTGTCTCGACTTTCCGGAGAGTCCTTGGGTCCCTCGGGAAGGATTTTATAGGCCGCGGCGGAGCCAGAGGGCCGGAGTTAGTCGCGGGGAATAATAAATGATACGATTAGAGGCACTAATTAACCGTGAAACTTGCGCGGGTTCCTGGAGATTAAAAGGTCCTAGGGCAGGCAGTGCGCGAAGACGGCGCAGCTTCTTCAGGGTCTCCGTAAACCGGAGGAGATCCCGGCTGATCCCGAAGAGCCCGCGAGAGCGGCGCATTCGAAGAGAGCCTCTTCGTCAGATAACTTTTCAATTTTCCGTACTTGAACTTTTCCATTAACGAAATTGTGTCCCCTCGCCGAGGGCGTGGCTCCGATCCACTCCCCTCAGGCTCTAATCCTGCGGATAGAAAACCGCCGCGGCGGGAAACATGCCGCCAGCCCGCAACGCGGGATCACCGTGAAATTAGGGGATTATCGGCTGTTAACGGTGATTCCAGTCCCGGAGAAATTAACGGTGAGAATATTCGATGTACTTCCCCTGACCAAGCCCCGAAAGGCGAGAAAGACGAACCCCCAGCTCTCCCCTCCACCTTGAAGAGACCTATCGACATCCCATGGGTCCACTCCACATCCACTCCTATAGTTCCTCCAGAAATTACAACTCCCTCACAAAGGGGTACAAGGCGAAGAGTCCTCTTCCTCGGGTCTGCACCGTTCAGGATCTTCGAGTACTTCTTCGGGAATAATTAAATTCTTCCTACAAATCTAGGCTCTCAGGAAATGGCTAGAGGAGACAGGGAGACGTCCGATAAACTGATAAGTCCGGTCGAGGTGCGTGGCATCGGATTCTTTTGAGGTCTTGGAAATTGGGGTGGGAAGAAAGGGCGCCACCCTCGGCCAGGAAGTCGCGCAAGCTTCTGTCCCAGAACGTAATAAAGTTCTATCTGTTTATCCACCCATCTCTCTTCCCGTCCTCTCCCACTAACGAACTTTTCCCTATCCAGTGAATCCTGCGCCCATCTAACTTTTATTTACACCCTCCCACTGGCCGCCCCCTCGTGTACACTCGATTGTGGGTTTTGCAGGGGGTGTTGGTGCCCCCGGCCACGTAGCAAACGTTAGATGTGATATCCACTCGTTAGTGTCGGTCTGCCGGGGACATGTAATTTTCTCGGGGCTCCGAGGACCTGGGACTGTCGTTCCTTTCTCACCCCCCGAGTTTCCCCGTAGATGGCTGCCGCTTAATCCGGCTAATTGTTTACGTTACCGGGCGGAACTTGCTACATGAATTATAAGGAGCCCTGCGATCCCTCCTCGCTCCTGTGACCGACTTACGCCCGACCTACCCCACCCGAGGAAAAAATCCAGGCGACCTCCCTCGAGGACCTCCAAAGGGCATGGAATGAAGAAAAGGGGAGAAAAAAATAGTCGACGCAATTTCTCCGAGAAAATTGCACTTTGGATTTCTTCTTCCTCTACCATTGGAAGGAAATAAATTCGAGAAATCGATTCTGCATTGATCTGCCCTGCGTCCTGGTGCTGATCCGATCCGATCATGCGTACCGATACTCTGTGTATTTCTCGCTAGAACACTCGGCTCGGGTATAAGTAATTTCCCTCTCGGCCCGGTCTACTCGGGAATATTTGCTTCATTTTCTTAACCGAATTATCTCCGATTGCAGGATGCCCGGATTTGAGATAACCAGCCTCCGAGATTGCTCCACGACCTCATGTTGTTGACTGATCAGCTGATCAGCTGATCAGCTGATGCTCGAGGAGCTCCCTTGAAAATTATGAATAATACGCGAAATGAGTAACTCGTTATTTTCTTTAGGGAGAATTTTCCCGAGGGGGATGAAATGTGGATTGAGAAGGAGGAACGAACTTGGATCGTCGGAATTATGGAATTAATATTTATTCGGGACTTTGCTCGCGTTTTCGAATAACTAGAAGCTCATCCCATCCCCGATACGCGAATTTAGTATCCGGAGTTAACGCTAGTCGGATTCGGCGGAATTTAGTCCGAGATGCGCCTCGAATTCACGGAATATATTTGTCCGTCCAGGTGCAAACAGGCACGCCGGATGAGCCGATAGTTTGTTAACACTATTATGATCGATTTTATTGCGAACGCGGATTATGGCTCGTTGTCGATATCGGAGCTCTCGCGGCCAAATTGGCGTGCGCGGAAATCGCGTGAGCATCTGTTTATGTTGCATGCGGAAGCTAGTTTGATGAACTAGTTATGTACTTGAAAAGACGGGTCTGCTTTAGGTGGGTGCAAAATTAACTGAGTGATCCCCACCGACAGAAATTCAAAGCTTCGTCGATCAACCTGTCGACTGAAAGCCCCGGGGAAACGGTGGAAAAAATTTCTTTCACTTCCCACAAAAATTACCACAATGTATATACTGCCTCTAAATATGAAATTTTAATATTTCTCGAGGAACGGTAGATTTTAAAATGACAGAAAGGGGGGTTACTCACTGGTTTGAAGGTTTAGGTCCATTCCAGGGCTGACCGAGACGTCGCCGTTACTACTTTGGGAGACACTCTCCTCGGTGGCGTTCTCATACGGATCAGCTGATCGCATAAATATATATTTAAATTAATCAGGGAGTGAGAAATATTAAATTCACACGTGGAGGGATTTTATAACACTCACAGACGTCGAAGGTAATTTCGCCGATCATGATCCACCGTGCAGCAAAGTGCAGGTGCAATTTAACGAATTTCCCTCGCTGGCGGTGAAGTCCGACACTGACGTTCCTAGCATTTTCCAAAACCGTGTCCGGCATGTAGGTGTAGATGACGGGTTTTCCGCTGAAGAATTTCCCCGCCATGCTGAACCAGAGCTTTACCTTCGAGAACACCTGGAAGAGGAGAAAGAAGATTTTAATTCAAGGAATAATTCCACTCAAATAGACTCGAATAAAATCAGATGCCACGTTTCCTCGGATCGATGACAATTTGACTTTATTTGAGTCAATGAATTTTTTTTTTTCTTTGAGTCAACCTAATATTTCTTTGGCACTGTTCATAGAAATATTTCATTGGTTCCATGAATTTCTATTTCTCAGAGTTGTACTTTAATCCAAAACCAAGTCCGAGGGTGTATACTCTTCGAGAAGTGCCCCAGCTTCAGGCTAGCCGGGTGTATTTTGCAAAATCGCTCAGAGCTCTTCCTCACCTGGACGTCCCTCGAGAAGTAGTTGTTCGCGTAGATGTGCACGGCGTCGAAGATTCTCAGGTCGTCGAACTCGAAAACGAGCTCGACGAAATTCCCGGCGAAGGTGTCTTGCATCCAGGCTACCCAGCACGAGCCTGCGATAAGAAAAGGACCAACGAGAAGTTCGATTGTCGGTTCGCGGGATTTTTTGCGAAAATGTCCCGGATGCCATCCCGAGGGAGAGCCTCCTCCGAGAGCCTCTCCTGTCGGGTAGGCTGCTCGGGCGTGCTTAATTGAAAGTCCCATTAATGACTGCTGAAATTGAGACTCGGGCGAAAATTGGCCCGTGATTAAGTCACCTGACCTAGAATCCGAACCCTGAAGGGACTCGTCCAGGAGACTCCGTTTAAATCCCGAGATACCGAAATCGGCAGCGTAGGAACAAACTCCGAAAAAATTCCCTTGCCCTAACCCTCTCTCAAAATTCATATTACTCGATCTTAATGATAAAATTGACAATCTATCACGAGATAATTTAATTTTTTTTCCCTCTCAAGTCAATCCAAGCAAAGTGGTGATTTTTAAAGCATCTCGCTTTGAATTTCGTGGTCGAACTCACGATCCATTTAGCCCAGGCTTTTAGTGGCTTGTTGCGTATCTCCAGGACATATTTCTAGATTGTAGATACGGAAATGTTTCGGAAATGGTTAAACATTCTTAGTATTAGGAAAAAGTACCTCTTCCATATTCGACGTCGAGCCTATAATTGTCAGCGCCGACTTCGCCATCGACCAGACGACCAAGGCCTTCCGTCAGCACGCCATATTGCCGTTTGCCGTCGTAAGTATCGTCGCTGAGCTCGGGCACCGGTGACTCCGGAATCGTGTAGCTCGCTATGCCACCTAATAACCATTCGGCGACGCTTTAAACCGGGTCTTTAGTGACTTAGGCTCAAATTGAAACCCCCCTCTTAAACCAGGACTCCTAGCGGAGCTAATAGCTGATAATTACACGGTGCCATTGCGCAATTTTCCCGAGGCACTCTGTGATCGAGCCGATTCGTCTTTATTTATGAACGCTGAAAATGTAACTACAACCCCAAAAGACGTGAAAACCCATCGGGGCATAAAATAAAGCAATACATAAATAATTAAAAAATAAATAATTAAAAAAAAAATAATGAGGGAAGAGTTGTCGCAAAGACTCCGAGTTGTTCATTGATTTTGAATTAACTAGGCGAATCCTCGCATCTGAGGGTGCCTTGGTGGTCCCCGTGATAAGGGAGGGTGTAATCACTTCTGGGGGGTCACGAATGGCCCCGTTTCGTCCAGTTCGAAGGTTAAGGGTCGTATTCCTCCCCATATACCCACCCGTGCCGGGGGTGGCGAATTTTGTGGGCGGGGAAAATTAATAATAATTCGCGTGAGTTAGCCCGAGTCGCCAGGGGGTTCTTCAGGGTAGGAGGAGCATGTCGTGTTGTTACAGGGTGGTCCGACAACTCCCAATATTTTATGCCACGTCCGAGCTGGTCCGTGCACCCTGGCACGCGATTTTCGTCCTAGTCCTCCAAGGGTGAGTTTCACCCCAGCAACCAGGACACCAGCTTCGACCCCAGAATTCTGGATTTCGAAGGTTCAACCCTCAAACCACATTTTTCACATCTACCGCGATAAACCATAAATTTAGCGGGACCACAAAAACTGCACGCATAAACTCAATATTTAGATAATTAAAATCATGGTAAAGAAAGGGGTGTACGAAATGGGTACGAAGGAGAATAGAAGACCGAGAAGATTAACCTTTGGGAAGGAATTAAACCGAGTGAACCCGTTAAGCGTGAACAAATCGACAAATGGCCCCACTCGACTCAATGGTACCACACCCCTTATGGAGAACGACGAAATTGGTTCCCCTAAGGGATGGCGACCCCGAGCGACATGGTTTCACTCCAGTTTCTCTTTTCCGGGTCGTGTAGCCCGTGGGAACCGATCACGTCGCAAATTGACGCTCGACTGGGTCACGGCCATCAATTCGGTGCCTTTCTTCAGGGTCCCGAAAATCCTGTCGTCCCCAGGATCGGCCACGCACTCGCGTGGGGGAAAAGTTAATCGCGTTCCAATGCAGGGGGCTGATACTTCGGGGTTTGTCGTAGCAATTTGGCGGTGATCGGTCAAACCCACGGAGACAGGTCCTGGTCGCGTTTCAGCCGGATGCCGTGAGCTCGCTCCATAAATCTGCCATTCCCGGCCATTGCCGGCTCGATCTCACGCTCGGAAAGCTCCTTACAAGCTGGAAAGCCTTCATACCGCTCGTTACAGTGGTAAATGTATGGGACTTCTCCACGAGCCAAGTAGAATCGTGCAAGCCGGCTCTTCGAGGGAGGTTCTCCCCCGAAGAGAGGCCTGAAGAGGGCCCGAAGAGCACCCGAAGAGGGACTCAAAGAGAAACCCGAAGAGAACGTCCTTAGACCGTAATTCAGGCTTCAGGATATTTTCCCGTGAACTCGTTCTCAATCGGTCAAGGTGTATCGCTCACCTGGCGCATTTGTATCAGGAAAACGCGTTCCCGAAGAAAAAGGAATTGGACCTGGTCAAGGTCCCCATCACCACGAAGAGCGGATCCGAAGAGGCGGATGGCCCTAATAATTAGAAGGCGAGCTCGGAGCGAAATCAGGACCGGGAATTCCGTTGATTATGCGGCTAGCTCGTGGCGGAACGACCGGAGGAACCGCCGCGATTCCGCCGTTGGGTTCGGAAATCGAATCGAATTTTCGAAGTTGGGGATCCGGGTCCGCGTTCGCATACATTACGGGCGCTCTCTCGGTGCGGCGGGTTTCGATCCGTATTTCGAGGGCGTTGGTTGAAATTATTATAATGGCGTACTCAGCCGCTTACACGTGGCGTGTAACGTTTACAACGTTTGCCACAGCCGTGCCAGAGAGGGAGAGAGAGAGAGAAAGGGCTGCGCCGCTCTGGTGGCTCTCATCGATTCTATTAGCTACGTAATCGTTAAGTACTAGAACTAGGTCGGAAACGAATTCCCTGCCATTGCACCAATTAATGCATCCGTAATGCGCCGGCGATGGTAATAGGATTTACGGGGGTGTTATTTCGACTGTCGCGACTCTTCGTGGAATCCGGGGAGAAACAGGGGAATTTATGAGAAACTGGGGTCCACGGGGACCAGGGAGATCAGTGGCGATAAGAGGAGAAAGGAGAGCAATGGTACCAGAACTGAGAGGGTCCCTGGGACGGTGCGATTACGCGGATGAGAGGGACCAGGGAGATCGCAGGAACCAAGGGATCGGAAAGATTGGTGGGACCAAGAGGATCATTGGGGCAATCGATTAATGGGACCAACAGGACCAACGGAACCACAAGGATCATTGGGACCGACAGACCAAGGGGATCGGAATACCCAGCGTCGCCAGAGGGACCGAACCTACCGTCCAGCTCCCTTTGTTTCCCGGGAACGAGTTCCGCGGGCGGAAGAAGTTCTCCTCTTTGTGGTCCATAAAATTAGGGATTCACGACGGTGGCTGTTTACGAGCTCTTTACGAGGCCCCCGGGAGACGCGCTCTGTGTGTTTCGTAAACGCCGGGACCCCGCCGATTGATTCATGCAACGCGCCGGGAATTAAGGGTCGGAAGTTGCCCAGGAAGGCCGGACACCTGTTCCCCCTAAAATGACCCAGGACCTTAAAGCAACCCCGGAATAAAATCCCCAACTGCTTCGATACGAATTAACCCCGAATTAAAGTCAAGGATTCACCTTGAAGAGACCCACGTCCAAGGTCTCGTCCGACAGGAGACTCCGCAGAATTACGACCCATCCGAAGATTTACTCGGAAGAGATTAGAAATTGAATAATCGAAGAGCTCGTAAATAGAGAAGGAGGGCGAATTAAAATCCACCGAGGGTGCCCCGGGTTTCCGAGGAATTCCACTTAACCGCAAGGAGATGTCCGAGGACCCGAAGGATCCCGAGATTGAGCGCTCCCCTGGAGCTCGGAGGTCCTTCGCCGTTACGGCCGGCTCTCTCTCTCTCTCTACGAGTTCGGCAATAAGTAACAACAGAGTGAATAAATAAATCCCGCCTTACTCTCGTCCTGGCAGCCTTTGAGCTCGATCCTGAGGCAGACGGTGCGCCGGTGCACAGAGTGCGGCAACACTCGAATCTGGCTGGCGAAGATGGGCGGAATCAGCTGATGCGTCACCACAGTCAAGGTGTCGCTGTTACCGACCAGCACCTGCGAAAAGAGATGGCAAAATAATAGCAAAAAAAATTAATTGAACCAGAGAGATACTTAGTTAATTCAAAGACTAATTATTTGAGTCAAATGCATTCAAATAAATTGGATGCAACGTTCCTTTGGAATTATGACAATTTATTCGAGTTTATTTGACGGTAATAATTATTCTTTGAATTCGGGAAATATTTCATTGGTTTAATTAATTTTTTTTTCTCACGGTGGATTCAAGAATTTTGCGTACCGACTTGCCGTCCCAGCGACGATACTGGCGCCAATCCTCGAAGCTCGGTCTCCAGTACTCTATGGTGTACTCCTCGACGTACTCCTGGCCTCTTCCGTGGTCGTATCGTCCTTGGGTTTGGACTCCCGTGACGACTCGAGGGCCGCCCAGGTCGACTTGCAGCCATTCCCTGATGCCACTCTCGATCTGCCTCTTGGGGCACCAGGCTCCACCTGCGGTCTCCTTGCGAAGGCTGTCGACAACACCAGGATCGGTCAGGACATCTAGCACGATGCAGAATCAGCAGGCACCTCGTAATAGCTGAATGAATTTCTTCGAATTTTGAAGGACCTTCAAAATTGTCAAGGCTCCAACATTCACCCGATGCGGATCCAAGGAGGGGATCTCGAATCAGTCTATGACATCTCCACGTGCATCCTGGATCCAGTCCCGGCATCATTACCGACGTCATTACGGATCTATCTCGCACCCAGAAAAAAAATCTGCCAGACATCTCACCCTGAAAAGGGACTGCACGAGACTGGCACCTCTCGTCAGAACCCAAAGAGGCGGAGGAAGAGAAACGAAACGGAACAAAACTCTTCAACATCCAGGGGTTTAATGACGGCGCCCTGCGAACCCTGACCCAGGATTAGAAACGAGCGAAAATGCAGCAAAGGCCCAGAAGAATGACTTCCCTCCCTGAAGAGGAGCCCCTGGCATCACCGATGCGGTATTCTTTTTCAAAATTTCACTTCGGGTCTGCTTTTGAAATATCGAACCCCAGGTATTTCGGCATCGAGTGCACGGTACCTGGGCACTTTTCCGACGATAAAGGATTCCTACCAGGACATCCCGGAGAGGTCGGGGGAGGCTGTTGGGATCGCGCATTTGCGGAATTACGTTTTTCCTGCAATAATTCCCCCTCGCCGCGGATACGGCCCTCGTATCTCGTTCGTCTCTCTATTTGCCTGTCTGCTCCCTTGTACTTTGTGATTAATAAATGTCCTGCTCGCCTCCACCCGGGCAGGATACTCCGGGGACTCCGCGGTGGCGAAGGGGCCGCGTAACGCGGTTATTTGTGTCGCGGTGTTTGAAATGTGTCTGGCCCCGTTAAACTAAGATGAATGAACTTTCCAGCCGGCGGTATATACGAAGTAGCTTTTGAATGCGGCCATTCGTTTCGCCTCTCCCACCTCTTCGCGCGATGAATAATGCGCATCGGTGCGAGCCCCGAAGAGAAGCACCCCGGAGATGTCCCATCGGACGGTGCGTTCAAAGCGACTCGCGATCTAGGTTTAACCAGAGATTTACCGTGAAATTCCCTTCCCAGCCTGCGACGAGTCCAACGTCTCCGACATCCTGGATACGTATACATCGGAACCTGATATGGATTTTCGGTAATGAATTTTAAGTCATTTCGAGAGGGGTGGAATAATCGTTGAAAGGGGTGTGCGAGGGAACGCCTCGTCGTCGGCGTTCCGGTATCAGGGCGGCCTTGGCGGATTTTACGGTCCTTATTTTTTTTTTTCGATTTGAGGAATGCCTCGGATCCGCGCAATCTCGATTTAACCACGTTTCTACCAGTCCGCAATATACGAATCGCGAGTCTGCGACTCTCAGGGGCTCTCGAGGGCGAAACGCGGGAAGGCACGCGACTTTGTCGCGCTTATTCCAGGCGCGGCGACCGACGAGGAACAATATTCTCATATCCTGCACGAGGGGGGGGCAAGTTTAAACATTATTGCCTTCAAAGGAGGCGGCCCTTTGTGCGAATGTTAGTCGAGGAGGAGGCGAAGGCGAGACGAGGGATCCCGCCAACGCCCGCTATGGACCTCCGTCCCTAACAAAGAAGACCCGGCCGGCCCGTTTTAACCTTTCCCTGCTGGCTCTGGAATTATATTAAAACGGCCCGCTGCTCTCTTTCGCCGTCTGCCAACTCCTGTCGACGTGTGCTGGACGGGGAACCCCCCAGGATGATCCGCAGGGTGGTTTGATCTGTCCGAAAAATCCCCCGACCGAACCGATGGGCGCGAAGACTGCTCCAAAAGGGGTAACCGAGGAACAAGCCTGAACTTTCCCCGTTTATTCCTTTTATCCTGGCATAACTTTGTAGGAAATAAGACGAAACTTTTTTTATCCTAAAACTGCACCCTGAGCTTGAGCGATGACGAGACTGCCGCGACGTACGACAGCAAGGACCTTCCCTGTAAGATTGAGGCAATATCTGGATTTCGATTTGGAACGTTTTTGAGTCCTCTCTTGGCATTTCACGTCTCACGGGATATTGTTGAAAAGGAACGAGAGTGGGGATATTTATGTTACAGTGGATCTATTTAATAGTCCCCTTTTTGGATTTGGGGCCATCGGTGGTCCAGCCCACGCCTACTCTCAGCAAGGAGTCTCCCGACATCGATCCCAGGACCCCGAGGTTTCCTGACGTTGGGATTTAATTACGGCCCCCTAAGTTTCTAACCACAGCGACCCAGCGCTACGTTAATATTTCGTTAAGTTATTAATTTGCTGGAGCAAACGGTGGCGAAGACGCAAAGGCGCAAAGGAGTGGCTGCCATCTGCGGAGGACACGTCCGGGCGTTGACTTCGGCCCCGAATGACAGTTTAATCAGACCATGGCATCCACTTTAAAAGGCCCGGAAGAGCGTCCCGACTCAAAGAATTATAAACGAGCTGGCGAGTCGATTCCCCCAGGAACTTCCTCTCTTAATAAAAATTCGACAGTCCCCAAAAATTCAGGAGATATTCCTTACCGTCCACTTCTAGGCCCGACGTTGGTTACGTAGGACGAGGATGCGTTGATAGCCGAGTCGGGGATGTCTCCGGACTCCATCCCCAAAGGCGCGTTACATGATCCTGAAAAGTTATCGACGTTTAATCACCTCCCAAGGACCGGGAAACAAGATAGCAGAGCAATGCCGGGGGGCTGAGCCCCTCGGAATTTCTAAAGAATTTCTAAAGAAATTTCCCGACAATTTTATGAGAATCCTCCCCCAATTGATCTTCTTAAAAAACTCTGAAAAAATTATGTGGACATTTTACGACCGTCGAAACGCATCGGAATATTTCTTAGGAATCCCTTTACAGGCTGCAGGTTAATTGCGCATCATCGACGTGTCATTTTGTTATCGAGGGTTCGTCCCGCGTGACGGCGGATCAGCTGATCGATCCCACGCTATCAGGACCGCGGAGATCCCCGAGTTCACTCCCAAGGGATGATTATGCGATTCGAAAACACCACATCACCGCCGTTTAATTACACCGGTCAACGGTCATCGATGTCATCCGGGCTCGTAACGCGTTATCGTTCCTAGCACCCGGGAAAATAGGAACAACGAGCTCGCCCTGCTGAAAACTGAATGTTTCCGGCCCCCGATCCCGAAGGTGCATTATGCGTTCCCGGAGCGGCGCATCATTGGGGTTTAATTACGTAGATGAACAGCCAATGACTCCAGAGTTACACGACGTAAACTCTGTCGTCCATTGTGTCTGCCCACGGGCGAATGAAACCGGGAGGTTCATGAAATCGAGCCGAAATCGAGGCCAAAATTGAAACACCAATTAGGGGGTGTCCTGGATTTTCCACAATTTTTAAAATCGAATAGATACGAAATTAAGGTGAATTAACGGGGAACGGTTATGCCAGGGAGTTATTTCTTCGAGTTCTGGAACTCCAGAGATCTGAAAAAAAAAAAAATGTATTCGATTGGTGGAATAAAGTTGGGAGGTCCATGAAATCCAGTGAAAATTCCAGGTTCTAAAGAGAGTCCGGTTCTGGGATGACCAGGAGAGACTGTATTTTTTATGATTTTTAAAAATCAACTATGAAATGGAAGGGACGAATTGATGGGGAACGGAGCTCCTCGAGGTCTGGTGGACCGGGCAAACACCCCGGGACGTTCCTGGGCGAAGCGCCGCTGGGATATTATCCAATCACCATACTTATTAGTCTTTCAGCAGCCTCATTCACGTTTCAATTTATCCCGAGTTTACGCCGTCATTCAGGTGTAATCTTCCCATTAAACTTTTCTTCGGACGGCGGGGCCGTCGCGGCGTCCAGTCCGAACCCGGAATCGAACGGATTTCCTCCGGCGGAAGAGATTTCCATCGTCAAGGCGATTGGTCCGATGCACTCCCGATCAGATTTTCGGTTTATTGCACTCGGCGGAAATGCACCGCCCGGTGGACGTTTATTACATACTAACGACCATCCACTCGGCAGACCTGCCGCCAACCCAGCATCCAGATTTCATCCGGACCCAGAATTCGGGACCAATTTCGCGCACCTCCATCGGAGGCTACTCTACGATCTAAGAGGAAGTTCGAGGAACGTGCCGATTCGATTTGAAACTCCTCTACGACCTTAAGGTGATATGGAAGTGACGCCAGATTTGGTACTCGTATATGAAACTCCCCTCCGAATTGAATATGCCGAGTCGTTTGAAAATTTACAGAGCAAATATGGAGGCTAGAAGGAAGACACCCTGAAACTTCAATTATTTACAAATATACCTTTTCAGAGATTTTTCCAACTGTGGGTAAAAAATGAAATTTCACGAGGGGCAGGACCTTCCTTAGTCCCCACATTGGATATACGAGGGTGCACTTAGAGCGTAAGCCGCTATCCAAATGAATATAAACGCGGGGCTACCTGTCCTCCGGGGGTGCGTTTTTCCCCCGCGGGAGGAAAACCGCGTCGACGGGTCGAGGAGGTCACCGAAATGGGATTTCATCCCTCGGCTCGATCGAGATCGGCCGATTGCGGGGGCGGATCGCGAATACATCGCGGATATATCGCCGGGCCAATTCCGCACTCCCCTACGGCGATTTCGCGGCCGCGATGCACAATGGCGGCTCGTGGGCGGGTTTGAAAATATTACGCGAGAAGCGACGCATGAAACCGAAACGCCGCGTTTTTCCGAAATTCCGCAACGGGGGAGCGCGTTTTAGCGCGGATGGGATCACCGATTAGCTTCGCTCGTTAGGGGTGGAAAAGTCACCCTTAACGACCAACGAGGGGATGGTTTGCCGGGCGCCGCGTATCCGAACATTTCATAGAAAAATAATGAATAATCTCCCATTATCAGTGATCACCCCTAATCACACCCTACATAAACATTTATCGATTATCGGTCTAAAATTCGGCGAGTGGAAAATTATCCCATCTGTCGCATCGTTGCAATACAATTGCAATTAGATGAATCAATGTATAAGTAAAACCAGTCCCCGTTGGAATTAATAATTACGTGGCGGTGATAGCGAAATCCGTGGAGATTCTTTATTTTTCTTTTTTCGTCAGGTAAATTCGATTTTCCACCGAGCTTTTCCCCGGCCCAGTAATTGTCTTTATCCCTGAGTGCTAACGGCGCGTTGTCTAGAGGTCTGACACGTCTAAAAAGTCTAAACAGTCCAAATCGAATCCGAGTTTAGTCCGAACGAAGTCTGAGGCACAAAGAAGCTCGGCCAATCGAGGCTTCTCGCGTTAATTCGAGGAGACGGCAAATCGACGCGTTCGGGCCGAGGAAAGGCCGGAAAAGCCAAGAAAACGGGGAAACGGGATAAAGGGAGGAGGAAAAGGCTAGAGACAGGAGTCCCTCTCGCGCAATTTGCCTGAACGAGTGGAGGCGAGTGGATTTCCTGGGATGGCACAAAAGGCGGCGTTTCGAGGCGGCGCGAGCAACGGACGTTGTTCTTCCCCGTTCCGGACGTTTTGCGCCGCGTGGACGGGTGCGTGCCGAAAACGGCGCGGAAGAGTCCCCGGGGGAATCGCACCCGTTGTTCCGCCGTTTTGCAGTAAATTCGAGTATCGGCCCCGTAGCTTCGCTGAAAATGCACCCTCCACCCCCGGAAAACGCGAAACGGGACAACTTCGGAGCCAGTTAACGCGACCTGGGAATAATTGCACATTTCCCTTAGTTTTTTTTCACCGCCCCGTACAACTTGAGCGACTTTTTGCCGACTAATTGCCTCAAGTCCCTGCCTAGAGATAATTGCGTGTATATTTCTATTACGTATTATTTCCGTTTAGTTATTCAGCCAGCGGGGCGCGCGCCAGCCGCCAATCCAATTAGAGAGGGGAATTAATTAAATTAATTATTTGCCCGGTCCCGGTCGGGCGAGTTGGGGCCATTGTTTTCACTTTGAGAGCCCGGAAGTTCGTCGCTGCGATTTCCACGCGTCGGGCCCCGAGGACGCGCGACGATTCCGCGGCGGTGTCTCCGCGGGGCGACTTGGACGGCGACGTCGCGACCAGTTCTAATTAGTTCAAGGCGCATACTTAAATTTACTCGATTCCTCCTCCATTACCCCATTCGCCAATCTTCCCAATTATTCCTCCAAGATTTTTCCGTCTTCTTCCAAACTCCAGTGTTATATACCGTTTATCCAGTTTCTTATCCTTTCATTTCTTTGCTTTTGGGATAATGCAGATTTTCAAATTTCGACCTTCGCGATTTGGGGACCAAGAAGGTCGCAGGCGTCCCGTGGCGACGCCACCTCCGGGTAAGGTGGGAACGGCGTCGGCGCCACCTCCGCTCGGAAGGTAACGACGCCGGCGCCCTTGCCGTCGGGAATCCGACGAACGTGCCGTCGGAATAAGGGCGAGGTGGCGGGTCAGAGGGCGGTCGAAGGAACGAGGTGTTTCGGGGATTCATTGCGACGCATTCCACGTCGAACAATTCGTCTTGCGAGCTGGCGTGGCAATTTGGCGAACGCGGAGGTGGAGGCGCCGCGGATAGGAGAACGTGGAGTAGCGGCGACGACGCCTCGGAAATCCAGCAAGAACTCGCCCCCAAGGTCCAGGGGTGTTTTTGCGACCCCCAGGGGCGGGAACCACATCCGACCCCTAGCTGACCGCGATCGTCATCAAGAGTCATCGTCCCGGGTTCGCGAACGTTCACCAAAGTTCATTAACGAGCCCCAAATGGAGCTCCCCGAATTTATCCTGGCCTTCGGTTTTCACCCCCCAAGTCAAAATGGAATTTCCTCCGAATTCTGACGTGAAGGAAGTTTAAATTTATTTCGAAATGTTCATTTTCTAGGATTTCGAAGGCTCCACCTTATACCTAGGATGGGAACCATAGCCCACTCCTGGCGATTGCGATCGTCATCGAGAGTCATCTGGTTTCACCAACGTTCTCCAACTGGTCCCTAAACGGGGTTCGCCGGAATTATCTGGCTTTCAGTTTTCATCCCCATAAGTCGGGGCGGAATTCCCTCCGAATCCTGGCGCGGGAGGGGACTTAAATTTATTCCTAAATGTGCATTCTCCGGAGCTCGAAGGTTCCACCTAACAACCTCGACGAGCCCGGCTACCATCCTGCAAAGGGTAGGAAACTTCCGGCCGAGCTCCGTTCCCATCGCTCGGGGCACGGGGTGTGTCTCCTCCTGGAATGAAAAGCCAACTTCGAAAGGCGGCTTCCAGGGTACACAAAACTTTCCCGTGGCAGGTTTAACCGAATACGTAAACAAGTTAACTTTCCCGGAAAATCTGGGAGCTCCGGGCTCCGTGGGGTACAAGTTGCCGCTTTATCCGGCTCTCCACCTGCCGAATAACATCAACCTACTTGGCCTCCTCTTTTTTGGGCCTTCGTATCCTCGCCATACGGCGGAATCGTGATTTGCAGCCCCTGCAAAATCTCAAAGACCCTGACCCAGTAAAGCGAAGCAATGACAGGGCCGCTTTGCATCCCCAAAGCCTACCCTTTTCCCTGCAGGAACGCCGGATCAGACGTTTCTCTTCCCGATTTCGAAATCGCCAATTTTCCCGGACGATTCCTGGAATTTCTCGTTCCATTCTCGAAATCTACCCCTTTTCCTGCACGAAATACCAATTCAGGAATTTTCCACCCCACTTC